CTTCTTTCTATTAAAGAAGTCAACAAGAATACTTGTATCAGCCTGCTGTTACCCAATAATTACTTATGCTTTTGTTTTGTAAACCAGCCAAGCCTCAGTAACATTCGCTTTCTGTGGGTTTCGGATACATTATTCCTCAGTTTCCCTCTTATACATTAGACCAGGTCTTTAATAGTCTGTCTGTTGTGAAGCTCCATATTTATTCACAGGTAGTAATTGAGAAGCTTTACTTTTATAGTGATTTTCCTTTCCTTAGCACTAAGTATTTGCCAGTTACTATTTCAGCAAGCCCAAAAGGTTTTCTTTTCCTGAAAGAGAATCATATATAATGTTGCAGAGTTACTTATTAACACTAAATTTATATTAATGTATACATATCTTGTTATATACCATACCTTTTATTTGGACAATTTCCTTCTGAGGACAGTGTTTGTGTTACCCCCTCTTGAAATCTGTCAACAGCAGACTCCTTCTTTAACAGCCAGGCAGCCTGCATTCACACACAACTTTAGATCTGAAAGCAAGCCAAAAATAAACCACAGAAGAGGGGGCGGGGGGGGTGAAGCACATGCAGGGGCAATAATGGAAAACAACATGCGTCCCTCTGCTGTAACCCCAGGAGGGGCTGGTAAACAGGTTATATACCTAAAAGACATCATTGCCATGAGTGTGGGGCACACCTATTGGGTCTTCTACCCTAGCATAAAAAAAAAAGTTGTTATAAGGGTATATTTAAAACCCTGAGAATATGTTTGTATTTTCTCTGCAGATGCTAATGTGGATTTGGTATTGTCAATAAATGTGGCGTACTGTCTTTTCCCCTATAAAAGATGTCATGTGCTTTGTATAAGCATAACAGCATGACCAAAGATGTTCCAGGACCAGAGAGTTCCGGTGCGCTGCATGAGGGTGGGCAAATGGTTCCCGGGGGAAGCAGGAACTAGCTTGTGGCTCATCTGGGCTGCTGGGGGGAGGGGCGCAGGAAGCCAGCAGGTGGCTCAGCTGGGCTGCAGGAGAGGATGCGTGGCTCAGTTGGGCTGTGGGAGAGTGCTGGGCTGGGGAAGGGCCGGGAGCTTGCACATGGCTCAACTGGGCTGTAGGAAGAGCCAGGAAGAGGGAAAGGAGCATTGAGGAGGCCCTTTAAATGACCTCCCCTGGTCCAGAAAAATCCCTAATCTGGGACCAGTCAGGTCCCAAGGGTGTTGGACCAGGGAGGTCCAACCTGTATTTATGTTTGGTTCAAAACCAGGTCGGGCTGACCTGGTCCAGTATTCTTGGGACCTGAGTGGTCTTGAACAAGGGAGTTTGCTGGAGCAGTAGAGGTCAGGCCTCAGGCTCTCCCGGGGCTCCCCTTCTAGCCATGGCCTGGCTACTGTGCCCCTAGCCCACCTGCTGGCTCTGCTGCCCCCAGCCTGCTGGTGGGGCTACTTTTCAGGCTGCTTGTGGGTCTTCTTTCCAGCTGCTGACCTCACTTCAGCTGGCTAGTGGGGCTCTCTGCCCCCAGCTGGCAAGGCTCACTATCCTGGCCTCACTACCCTCCGCCAGGCTCCTCTCTGGCCACTGGTCTCACTCTAGCCAGTGGGGCTCCCTGCCCCCAGGCCACTGGCCCTGCAGGTAGGCAGCCATTGGCAATTTCTGCGGCAAGGGCTCTCTGCTCCAGAAACATCTGTGGTTCTGCCAGATCAAGGATGTTGCCAGACCAGAGAGTCCCAGACCACAGAGATTCAACCTATTACTTATGTATAGGAAAACCAAACTAGAAAATATAATTTCTAATCACATTTTTGGGGATAAAGTAATTCAGATGATTGTTCTGAATCTACTAAATTGTTTACACTAGCTAAATATAATACATAAATGCTGAAATTTAAACTGACACTTGGGCAGAGACAAACCCCTCTAAGCTTGTACTGAGTGGCTTAGCAGATAAGTACTAGCTTTCCTATTCTGGGACCAGTTCCAAGTGAAGTGTTAAATCCAATCATTTCAGCTGCCTAATTTAATTCCAAAGTGGACAGTGCTTTACATTTAAACAACATAGAATATCTGTTTAATTCATATACCTACTGATTATACAAATACTCTGCAAAACATGAGAGAGAGCGAGAGAGTATTTATTTAGGCTTTTTAATAGTCTCCCATTACTAAGTGACTGCATGCAAAGGCTAAATTACCTCTATGGCCTGATCTACACTTGAAAATTTTACCTGTATAACTATGTTGGTTAGTGAGAAACTCTCTATATATTCTTTACTGAAAGTTATAGTAGAAAAAGACCTAAAGTGGGTACATTTATACAACTAGAAAGGCAACCCTTGTGTTTCATGGAATTGCTTTTCACTGTTCCACGCATTCAAGAGGGCATCTCTTGTCCTGGCCGGGGGGAAGGGACAGCACTGGCTGGAAGCTATGGGAAACTCACTGCAGCTCCTGGCTCCCAGTTCTCTACAGTTGTTGGGAGCCACAGGGAACTTGCCCCATTCCCAACCTCTGCAGTGAGTTCCCCATGGTTCCCAGCCTCTGCGGTGAGTTTAGGAGCTGCGGGGAGCTCACTGTGGGGGCTGGGAGTCTCAGCTCTCAGTAATTGTGAATTCACCATTCACGGTGGTTCCAGGATAAGATACACCATGAATGGCAAGGGTTTCTGCAAATGGCAAGATAGTTATTCCCTTTCCCATATGGGAATAGTGATGCTAATATAAAGCACCTTTATACCCATATAACTCTGGCCACACTAGGAGGACTGTAATGCTTTAACTATTCAAGTATGGTCCTCAAAAAAGAAACGTCTTTCAGTCTCAGGTGAAGTAATTTGGTATCCACTGTATTTCTATAAGGAAATAGTCCACAGAATTATTTTACACCATTTATGTGGGTAGTTTTCTCTTGAGCAAAATATACCTCTTATATCTACTGATCTAAAGCCAAAAAAAAGGCATAATTCAGAAATATAGTTTTCTCGCATGTGCTATAACATATTTTAAAGTCAGTCATATGTTTACAGATGTACATAACTTTAAATAATGGCAAATAGGTCAAAAAGCAACTCGTGACACCTAGGTATCCTCTAGCTTTTGAGACACCAATACTGACCACTGTGTTTGTAGATTATAATAAGTAGGACCCCAATCAGCAAATTATTTAAATACTTACTTACATCCATTCCTGTTCAACAAAACACATGCTCAAATCCTTCAGAGACAGTATTGATTTCCATCTAGGGGCGGCCCGTCCATACTGGCCTCTTCCCCCACAGCCCTACCGGTTACAGCCCCTCCTCACACAGCGCCATGCTTCCATTGCCACCAGCCCGTGGTTTGTAGAGAGCTGCTACTTTTCAGCAGAGCTACTGAGCATGCTCAGTAACCCTAAAAGGAGCAGCTTTGTACAAACCACCTGCTCAAGCCGAGATTCCATCCCCCCACCCTAGAGGGACCCACAAAATCCGCTAAACTTGAAACCCCAGGGCTACGTCTACACTGGCATGATTTTGCGCAAGAACTCTTTCACAGAAGAGTTCTTGTGCAAAAACTCTTCCAGAAGAAAGCGTCTACACTGGCATGTGCCTTTGCACTAGAGATGTGCTTTTGCGCAAGAGCATCCATGCCAGTGTAGACGCTCTCTTGCGCAAGAAAGCTCTGATGGCCATTTTAACCATAGGGCTTTCTTGAGCAAGAAATTCATGTTGCCTGTCTACACTGGCCTCTTGCGCAAGAACAGTTGCGCAAGGGGGCTTATTCCTGAGCGGGAGCATCATAGTTCTGGCGCAAGAAGCCCTGATTTCATAATTAGAACATCAGTGTTCTTGCGCAAGAACTCCCCGCCAGTGTAGCCAAGCAGCAAGTTTTTTGCACAAGACTGGCTGCTTTTGTGCAAGATCACACCAATGTAGACACAGCCTAGGAGATTTAATCTGGCCTGAGGCTTTGAACCTCAGTCCTCTCTGTCCTTCCATGGGGCTGGAGCACCAGGAGAGTGAAGTGTTTCATTGAGGGCCACATTAGTGAGGGTTGGGGGGGTTTGGAGAGTCTTTTTTTCCTTCTCACTTGTAGGGTCCCCAACTGATTTTTCTGTGGGTCAGTGGGCCTCAGCCCAAAAAAGTTTCCCCACTCCTGTCATAAATAAAGAAAATGTTGAAATATAATATTTTACTTTATTTAAAATGAAGCCTGGCTAACAAGATCCCATTTGGTGACCAGCCCCCACCCCCCAGTCACAGTGTTCTGTCCCCAGCCCCAATCCTAGGGCAGGCCCCATGGTTCAGCCCCAATCTGGCCCCAGGAAGGCTGATGGTGGCCCCCCTCCTGTTGCAGCATGGGAAGAAGGGGAGGCCACAATCCAGCTGCAGCAGACATAAAGGGGTTTGTAAGAGTAGTCGGCAGGGGCATAGTCCCCTAGTGTGCACCATATATATAGTAGCCCAATGTCTGAGGCCTGCACAGTCCCATTTCTCTTGTGCCTGAGGAGCACTGGCCTGAAGGAGGCCTGTGTGGTCTAATTCCTGGCTCTAGGCCAGGCTTCTTCCCCCAACCGCTGATCCTGGACTGGGCCCCCTCCCTCAAAGCCTGGGTCAGGCCCCCTGTGTCCCTCAGCCAGGTCCCCCCACGCCCTGGGCTGGTCCCCCTCCAACTCCAGGCCATCCCACCCTTTTTGACCCCAGCAGGAGGCCTGCACATTCCTCCCAGCCCTGACAGACCTAAGCAATGCTGGGTAAGTCTGCTAGTCTTCTCAAATATGTCAGTATTTCTCCAGCTGGTTCAGAGCTGTGCCTACACAGACTCTTCTCTCCACAGACCAATAACATCCTCTTGTGTACTCCAGGCTGGAGTATTTGGGATGTTGAGTAACCATGATCAGGTGGGCTGGTGAGCTCTCCATGCTAATCAAACTGGAAATGTGGATTAAAAAGTTCCCAGGGCTTTAACAAGTGAGGGGCTATTTCCTATATATATATCTCCTGGTAAGACAAAATAATGCCCCCAAGTATAGAATGTGTGTCAGTCAGATGTGCTGATCTCTCGCAATAACTGAGATAAAACCATGAGACCACAGTTAAGATTTTGCATTAGAGGTTTAGTTGGAACACCAATCACCAATCCATTCAATGTCTGTGAGAAGGATACCGCAACTCAGATATGGTGACAATTATATTTCTTTGGTGGGCAACATAATTTGAAGACTTAGCTGCCTATGTACAAGTGATCTGAATGTTTGTCCTTTCCTGGACTCCAAACCAGTGTACATTAATGTGGAGTCAGCCTTTCATGCGTTCCCCAATTTTCTGCAATTTACTGGCAGCAAGCTGAGTTACCATGGGTTTCTGCCCTATAGTCGTGCAGTGCGTGCTTTCCCCTTCACGCCTTTTCCAATTGGGTATGAGTGTTTGAAATTGTAGTGGGAGGTGATGCTTTTGAAGCATCAGCTCTGGCATGGATTTCTCAGAAATCTGCTGTTCTTGGAGGGAATTGTGGGATTCAAGACAGATGCTCACTGAAATCACCTGTACAAATGTTTCCCCACCCCTACACACTTGCACAATGCCAATCATGTGCTGGTAGCACTTAGCACAGAAACCTTTGGAGGCATTTCCACCTTGTTTTCCTTTTTTAAAATCCTGTATGTATATAGCAGGAGTAGCTTCTGGCCCTTAGAACTCAGATTCCTTAGTACAGGTTGCACCTCTAAAATCTGGGATTTTTTGATCCGGCAACATCCATGGTCCGGCATTGTAGGAGTAGGATTTTATATTTGTATTTCAGGTTTAATAATGTAATAATGTATGACTTAATTTCATCCTGCTAGCCACCCTTTTTACTTATTACAGTTTCTTTTCGCACCTACGTGCTTTAACGTTTGCTTTACTTACACAGTACCAGAATTAACGTTAGCAGCTTGCCAAGCCCAGCAAGTTTGCCACAACAACCATGCCATTGCCGGATCTCTGCTCTTTAGGTGGAACACTATGGAGATTGACATTCAATTTGGCAGGAGGTAGATAGAGATAGGATGAGATCTGATTAGAGAGTCATAGATTTTTTTTGTGTGCTTACTACAGTATCCCTTCTTTTCTTAAAACAATACACAATAATGTTAGCATTGAGACAAATGACACAAAACAACAAACATATAATATATGAGACATAAGACATGAAACACAATTAGTGCTGCAACAATAAATCCAGATTATTTTCAATTGCTTTTCAGCGGGTGCCAGCTCTTTCTGATGCTCTGAAATACAAAAAGAAAAATTTTCTACCTCCATGGGGATGGCACATTATATTTCAAAATGCTTCTTTCTATTAAAGAAGTCAACAAGAATACTTGTATCAGCCTGCTGTTACCCAATAATTACTTATGCTTTTGTTTTGTAAACCAGCCAAGCCTCAGTAACATTCGCTTTCTGTGGGTTTCGGATACATTATTCCTCAGTTTCCCTCTTATACATTAGACCAGGTCTTTAATAGTCTGTCTGTTGTGAAGCTCCATATTTATTCACAGGTAGTAATTGAGAAGCTTTACTTTTATAGTGATTTTCCTTTCCTTAGCACTAAGTATTTGCCAGTTACTATTTCAGCAAGCCCAAAAGGTTTTCTTTTCCTGAAAGAGAATCATATATAATGTTGCAGAGTTACTTATTAACACTAAATTTATATTAATGTATACATATCTTGTTATATACCATACCTTTTATTTGGACAATTTCCTTCTGAGGACAGTGTTTGTGTTACCCCCTCTTGAAATCTGTCAACAGCAGACTCCTTCTTTAACAGCCAGGCAGCCTGCATTCACACACAACTTTAGATCTGAAAGCAAGCCAAAAATAAACCACAGAAGAGGGGGCGGGGGGGGAGGTGTCCCCTTCCTGAAGCACATGCAGGGGCAATAATGGAAAACAACATGCGTCCCTCTGCTGTAACCCCAGGAGGGGCTGGTAAACAGGTTATATACCTAAAAGACATCATTGCCATGAGTGTGGGGCACACCTATTGGGTCTTCTACCCTAGCATAAAAAAAAAAGTTGTTATAAGGGTATATTTAAAACCCTGAGAATATGTTTGTATTTTCTCTGCAGATGCTAATGTGGATTTGGTATTGTCAATAAATGTGGCGTACTGTCTTTTCCCCTATAAAAGATGTCATGTGCTTTGTATAAGCATAACAGCATGACCAAAGATGTTCCAGGACCAGAGAGTTCCGGTGCGCTGCATGAGGGTGGGCAAATGGTTCCCGGGGGAAGCAGGAACTAGCTTGTGGCTCATCTGGGCTGCTGGGGGGAGGGGCGCAGGAAGCCAGCAGGTGGCTCAGCTGGGCTGCAGGAGAGGATGCGTGGCTCAGTTGGGCTGTGGGAGAGTGCTGGGCTGGGGAAGGGCCGGGAGCTTGCACATGGCTCAACTGGGCTGTGGGAAGAGCCAGGAAGAGGGAAAGGAGCATTGAGGAGGCCCTTTAAATGACCTCCCCTGGTCCAGAAAAATCCCTAATCTGGGACCAGTCAGGTCCCAAGGGTGTTGGACCAGGGAGGTCCAACCTGTATTTATGTTTGGTTCAAAACCAGGTCGGGCTGACCTGGTCCAGTATTCTTGGGACCTGAGTGGTCTTGAACAAGGGAGTTTGCTGGAGCAGTAGAGGTCAGGCCTCAGGCTCTCCCGGGGCTCCCCTTCTAGCCATGGCCTGGCTACTGTGCCCCTAGCCCACCTGCTGGCTCTGCTGCCCCCAGCCTGCTGGTGGGGCTACTTTTCAGGCTGCTTGTGGGTCTTCTTTCCAGCTGCTGACCTCACTTCAGCTGGCTAGTGGGGCTCTCTGCCCCCAGCTGGCAAGGCTCACTATCCTGGCCTCACTACCCTCCGCCAGGCTCCTCTCTGGCCACTGGTCTCACTCTAGCCAGTGGGGCTCCCTGCCCCCAGGCCACTGGCCCTGCAGGTAGGCAGCCATTGGCAATTTCTGCGGCAAGGGCTCTCTGCTCCAGAAACATCTGTGGTTCTGCCAGATCAAGGATGTTGCCAGACCAGAGAGTCCCAGACCACAGAGATTCAACCTATTACTTATGTATAGGAAAACCAAACTAGAAAATATAATTTCTAATCACATTTTTGGGGATAAAGTAATTCAGATGATTGTTCTGAATCTACTAAATTGTTTACACTAGCTAAATATAATACATAAATGCTGAAATTTAAACTGACACTTGGGCAGAGACAAACCCCTCTAAGCTTGTACTGAGTGGCTTAGCAGATAAGTACTAGCTTTCCTATTCTGGGACCAGTTCCAAGTGAAGTGTTAAATCCAATCATTTCAGCTGCCTAATTTAATTCCAAAGTGGACAGTGCTTTACATTTAAACAACATAGAATATCTGTTTAATTCATATACCTACTGATTATACAAATACTCTGCAAAACATGAGAGAGAGCGAGAGAGTATTTATTTAGGCTTTTTAATAGTCTCCCATTACTAAGTGACTGCATGCAAAGGCTAAATTACCTCTATGGCCTGATCTACACTTGAAAATTTTACCTGTATAACTATGTTGGTTAGTGAGAAACTCTCTATATATTCTTTACTGAAAGTTATAGTAGAAAAAGACCTAAAGTGGGTACATTTATACAACTAGAAAGGCAACCCTTGTGTTTCATGGAATTGCTTTTCACTGTTCCACGCATTCAAGAGGGCATCTCTTGTCCTGGCCGGGGGGAAGGGACAGCACTGGCTGGAAGCTATGGGAAACTCACTGCAGCTCCTGGCTCCCAGTTCTCTACAGTTGTTGGGAGCCACAGGGAACTTGCCCCATTCCCAACCTCTGCAGTGAGTTCCCCATGGTTCCCAGCCTCTGCGGTGAGTTTAGGAGCTGCGGGGAGCTCACTGTGGGGGCTGGGAGTCTCAGCTCTCAGTAATTGTGAATTCACCATTCACGGTGGTTCCAGGATAAGATACACCATGAATGGCAAGGGTTTCTGCAAATGGCAAGATAGTTATTCCCTTTCCCATATGGGAATAGTGATGCTAATATAAAGCACCTTTATACCCATATAACTCTGGCCACACTAGGAGGACTGTAATGCTTTAACTATTCAAGTATGGTCCTCAAAAAAGAAACGTCTTTCAGTCTCAGGTGAAGTAATTTGGTATCCACTGTATTTCTATAAGGAAATAGTCCACAGAATTATTTTACACCATTTATGTGGGTAGTTTTCTCTTGAGCAAAATATACCTCTTATATCTACTGATCTAAAGCCAAAAAAAAGGCATAATTCAGAAATATAGTTTTCTCGCATGTGCTATAACATATTTTAAAGTCAGTCATATGTTTACAGATGTACATAACTTTAAATAATGGCAAATAGGTCAAAAAGCAACTCGTGACACCTAGGTATCCTCTAGCTTTTGAGACACCAATACTGACCACTGTGTTTGTAGATTATAATAAGTAGGACCCCAATCAGCAAATTATTTAAATACTTACTTACATCCATTCCTGTTCAACAAAACACATGCTCAAATCCTTCAGAGACAGTATTGATTTCCATCTAGGGGCGGCCCGTCCATATAGGCCAGTGGTCCCCAATGCAGTGCCCCCAGGTGCCATGGCACCCGCCAGGCCATTTATGTGTGCCTGCCGAGTGATTGGGGCCAGCCCTACCCCCGGGCACGTGGCGCTTGGGAGGCCCTGCCCCCAGGCACATGGGTGGCTCTGTCCTCGGGCACCCAGCAGCCCCAAAAGGCTGGGGACCACTGATATAGGCAAACTAGGCAGTCGCCTCAGGCACCAAGTTAAATGGGGTGCCAAATGGTGGCGCAATATCATTGAAGGGTTTGGAGGTGGGGGTGCTGATTGCATGGTTTGCCTAAGGTGCCAGTTGCTGGCAGCTAGTCTAGGGCTGCCCGTTTCCATCCAAACTCTTGAAGTGATTGTTTGGTGAAAGAAAAGTTTCTTTTGACTTGCTCACTTTGTAGCTTCTAGAACTGAAAGGTGGGAAGAGAGCCCAGAACTTAACTTACAGCTCAAGCCTAGAAATCTGCGCTGTAATTAACTGCACGTTTTTATTTGCAGTCCTGGCAAATAAAACTTACATTTGAGCTTTCGATAATTATAGTACATAGAATGACCAATAGAAAAGTTTCCTAGAAGCCATCCAGTTACAAAAACCTCTTTATGTTAAAGAATTACGTAGGTCTATTCTGACATTAGTATTTCCACAACCACTTGGCAACTTCATTCACAGCAAGGACAACTGCATTTTGTAGTGTGTTTAGCAAACAACTTCATCAGAGTGTTTGTGTCCCTTAGGGAAGTAACAGATTTGGCTCAGTACATCAGCTTCTACCAACAACAAAAAAAGATTTCTACTTAGGTCTACATTATCATGTTTGTCCTCATTTTTCAAAGCTAATTGGGAAACATTTTTTTTCCCTGGCTTAAAATACTATGAAAAGGGTGTCAAGGCTGATAGGTCCAAGATTTGACTTGTATGTTGATTATAACGGGGAGCCTGGACACAGACCAGAACTCTGCGAGGGGGGAGCTGTGTGAGTCTTTTACCTTTCCAAACGAGGAGCGGTGCGGCGCTTTAGTCACTTTATGAAGCCCGGGTACAATGCTGTGGTCTAACACACTCACTGCAGCCCAGTGGGGCTGGGCGCGCCCGGGGGCGGGGG